CTCTCTCTCTCTCTCTCTCTCTCTCTCTCTCTCTCTCTCTCTCTCTCTCTCTCTCTCTCTCTCTCTCTCTCTCTCTCTCTTTTCCTCTCTCTTTCTGTCTGTCTCGTTCTCTCTCTTTGCCTATCTTTGTCGCTCGCTTTCTCTTTCTCTCTCTCTCTCTCTTTCTCTCTCTCGCTCTCTCTGCCGCCCCCCATCCCACGGCCCCTCTCTTTCCCTTTTGCCTTTTCTCACCCTCGGATGGACCAGCTGCCGCCGCTCCCCCCTATTAAGAGCGCCATGAAGGCTCCTATCACGACAACCAGCGCAACGGCTGCAAGCTTGGCTCGCAGTGCTAGCTGAGCAGAAGGCCTTTCGTCATCAGAGCTGATGTCTGCTTCGCAGCTGGTTTTCTCGGTACTTGGTTCGTGCGGCAAAGAAGCCGTACTGGTGCGTACCATCGCGGTGTACGGGCCGTTCCGGTACCTCCTTCCTCCGGTTGCCACCAGTGGCGATTTGGTACTGGTAGCTGCGTTTTTTATGTCGAGAAGAGATAACGAACGAAGCCAGACCGGTGATCCATGATCAACAATAGCCCGGGTGGGGAATGATCTAATTTCTCGTTACGTTCTCTCTACCGGTTGTACCTATACGGTGAAGAATCAGCGGTCGACAATCCTCCACAGTCGGGTAGGAGCGTCTCACATTAGGAAACCCGTTGGTGGTAATACCAAGGGAACTCAAAAGGGGTCCACATTGGTTTCGCACCTACAACCAAGGCGATCACAGCGTCGAATCACCGATGGAAAATTACGTTCTCGCGCTGAGGAAGTTTGAAGATGCAATGCTACAACTTTCAGCTACAGGTACGACGACAATAACATTTTTCTGGAATGGGAGTACGTGGAGCGTACGGATACAGACGAACGGCAGATATCAATACGACCAGGCGTGAATCGACCGTATTCCCGAAGCGCGGGGCAATTGGTACTGTTTCTCACGTGAGACCCTTGTAGCAAATATGGCCGAGTCGCCGGATTGCCGCAGCATCAGGGGGAGTGTGCAGAGCAGCACGTACAAATGTGAAAGGGTCGCCGTAATTCCGCACGGAAAAGCTCTCTCCGCGCTCCGCGTGGCCATCTGACAAGTAGCAAGACAGACACCGGGTGAAGCGCACGAAGTGTGTGATAAAAGCGCGCACCAACTTGTGAGAAGTGTCAGAGCACCAAATGCAACGACTCGGCTCAGCGGTGGCCACGTTCTCGCCCTGCCCGTTTAGGTCACGACTTTCATTCTGACAAAGCAGCCAACAGTAGCAGCATCAGCAGCAGCATCAGCAGCACCAGCACCAGCACCAGCAGTGTCACCACCAAGTACAAGACAACAGCAACCACAACGATCGCGTCACCTGTGCAAAAGCCGCGACCACCCAGGCGACGTTCATGGTCCCCGACAAAACAGCGAGGTATGGCGAGCGCTGCTTTGTTTTCGCCGAAAACCGACTGCAGTATCAGCACAAACATGCAAAACCCGGCAAGGGTGGGCAGGATTCAGCATTGTAAACAAGGCTGTGCGAGTACAGTCCGAAGCGGTGCACTTGGGGTTTCTTCCCGCCAAACCAAAACGTAGAAGGCTTGATTGCTGGCCCTTTCAAATATATGATCGCCTGCGGACAGTTGTGGAGGTCACCGTCAAGGGTTCTAGACCTGGAATTTCCTATTTAGCTCGTTGCGTGGCACCTTTGTCGGCTGTCCCCGGCGAAAGGGCGTGTGGCCACCCGGGTGATACTGTTGTTGTTGCTGTTGCTGTTGATGTGACTTGTCCAAAAATATCAATCCGATCTCCACTCAGCATCTTTGAACATTCGTTCTTGTCAATAGCGGACAACCTTTAGTGGCTAGCTACCCACAACAGGCTTGCCGCAGGACAAAACAATAGAAACCGTTACAACAGCCAGTCACTCCCCGCCGAAGGCATGTACTTCCCCAGGATGTCCCCTTTGCTCGAAATGAGGGAGGCATCGAATTCGGATTCGGTTCATAGGCATATACTTCGACACGACGTCCCCTTTGCTCGAAAGGGAGGAGGCACCAATTTGGATTCGGTCCATATACACATTCCCATCTCAGTAAGATCAATCGCGCGCTTTGGCATTTCCACGTTGCAGTTTTGTATCGGTTCAGACATATGGCCCAGAAAATCCGAGGGTCAGTTTTCTTTTAATATTTAGCCGATAACGTTTTTTTTTTCTGAGACTGCCCAATTTACGGCCCACCGCTCAGATACGCACCCCGCACCCCACCCTTCAAGATATCCGAGGCATGGGTTGCTGTTCAGCTACCTGAGATTCTCAGCGGAAACAGAGTAGTAGAAGATTAACAAATATATGCTGCCACTCGATGCGACAACATCAGGGAACATCACGGACACAGGGAGTACTTTCCGTACCCACGTACACCGTCAAAATGTTAGAACAACTAAATCTCATTCCTCCTGTCGTGCCAAACATAAATGATGTATTATGCACGAAATGATCAACTCTTCTTTACATATGGTCTGTGCTGCCCACTGAGGGGAGAGATATAACCATACTCCCTGCCTACACACGGGCGAGAGAGATGACCAACCCATTACATTTGAACACACGAACACCCACATATCGGTGATGGAACCTCAACCACACGCCTTACCTACGACCGACCACGTCAGGAGGCAATGATGAAAGAATGTTCTCCCGTGCCCTTCGCACATTTATGGGCATGAAATTACACAAAACTGGGAGACCACTCCCGTGTGCCGCACAATTTGACACAGATGCATGCATATGCATACCAAACTCAATTACTTACCAAATCATATTCCTCGCGTTAAATGCATACCAAACTGGAAATACACGTGTAAAATGGATGGAGATCCACAACCAACAGGGTGCCACACATAAAACACCCGACTAACTAACAGCCCAACACTTTTCGTCTACACCTTCCCAACATAACATATATAAGACACACAACACAGCTACCAAACTGTCTTGTTGAGCCTGTTATCCGCAGGGGAGATGTCCATATATGCTGTCTGGGAAATCGTGGACACACAACAGGTAGTTTTCTTTGACGCTATGATTCCATTGCTAATCTGTCTTTGACTCTTTTCTCTGACGGAGATGGACTCGTTGTGTTGTATTTGGAAAAATAAAAAAAAAAAATATATATGGTACCGCAACGTACAGACTCGTTCGAGCGTCATGCCACCACTTGACAGGGCACTTACTGGACAGACCCGCTCCTCCTACGCGGGTGTGTCTACCCGTATCATTACAAGGGTAGGCTATGCGGTAACAGAACAGAGCTCGCTGTGTAACCGACAAGGACGGGTATGTGGAAAGAGACAAGGTTCACCAGCCGTCGAAATAGAGCACATCTTGTGGCCTACAACTAGTTCAGGAGAACACCCAGATCATGGCCTGCAGGTCGTTCGAACTACTGGGAGCTGGCCCAATAGTTGCCTTGTGTTACCCTTCATCGGCGCCGCCTCCTCTAGACAGCTGTTGTTGCGGTATGAAACGCTACTTTGAAAAATTGCTGTGTGAGGGTGATTCTGCAACTACTGTAGGTTGAAGCTGCTGCCGCTTCCGCCGCCGCTGCTGCTGCTGCTGCTGCTGCTGCTGTGCTACAGCTAGCAACTGCTGAATCGCCGCTTCTCTCGCTTGAATGAAACGAGAAGCTTGGAGCGGCTGAGAGTGTGCATGCAAGAAACCTTTCGGGTGTTTCCCTTAGCTGACAACTCCACCGCTCGATTCTCCCGCACCGTTGATTAGACTACTTTCGGGTGCCGTAGTTGACAACAGCGACGCTCGATACTCTTGCACGATGGATTACTACTGTAGTCTACAGCTAGAGCCCCAAGCAACCTAATTTCGCTTTTGTGTAGACAAGGGAAGAAGCCGCATGGGAACAGCGCGCAAGAGTCCTTCGGAAAATCAGCGGGGGGGGAAGTTGCCACGTCATACCGATGACAAATGATGAGCCGCTTTCGGAACTTGTAAATGCCAATGGATATGCATACGTATCTGAGAGAGAATCTGCAATTTTGTGTCGGGAAAACGAAACCCTGTTCCGGAAACACTCTCCCATGTGCTGCATTGCGTGCAGCGCTTTCTTACGCGTTCACAGAGATGCAAAAAACAAGTGACTACGTTGTAGACTCTAGTCTATCCCACGGGAGTGGTAGATGTGCGCTTCGTGCTGAGAGTGAGTCGCCTGCATACTTGCTGTTGTTCCAGTTCAGTGTACATTCATATTACGCGCACCTTGCCCACATTCGAGAGACTCCCCAGAGTCCCAACCCCGTGTAGATGATCGCCCCAAAACAGGCGGCCGCCACCTTCACCAGTCCCATGTGTGCGCAGCAGCAGCGCCCCTTGTAGCTGAAACCCCACCACGCTCCTTGAATTTTATTACTTGCAGCTGCTCCCCTCTCACTGGTGGTCGTTCCTGCTGTACCACTGAGGTCGTCACCGCCCACGTCGCCCCTTGTTCCAGACGTGTATGCATGCGAATGTGTTCCTCTTCCTCCTCCGCTGAAGCACGTGATCACGCGAAAGTTCCCGCTGTTGGTATTTCATGGCACCTGCATGCCACGTTTCTCGACGAGCGTTTTGAAGGGGGCGATCACAGTAGTCAGCCGGGCGCCCGTCGCATCTCTTCGCCGCTCGTCGCGACCATGATGTGCAATGTCGCAATGTCGGCGATAATGCGATCAAATATAATCATCCCGCGCGGTGCAATATTGATACATTGTGCTTGAAACGTCACACATGCCCCCGATCACTCTCCTAACCCCCCTGTCGTCTCTTGGGTGTTGTCCGCGGGACCCCCCGTCAGCCGTCAGCTGTCGTCCTGACAGTGAGGAGAAAGAGGCAAATCAAGATAGCCAGCTCGCAGCCAGGCACGGACACGAGCAATAAGTGAGAGGTGAGGGCTTGGGAGTGGGTGTCAAGGCGGGGACTGTCGATGTGATCGCAATCGAGGGTCTTAGTCAACTACAGTCCTGTGCTCTAGTAACACTAAAACTCTAAAACTGTGTGTGCTGTGCTGGGGGAGTCCATGTAGGTTGACGTTGTGTCGCCGACCGCACTAAGAGACAGAGATGGAAGGAATCCTTGGACAGAGGCAGTAAGATCTGTGCTGTATGCGAACTTTTGGGCTTTCGGTGGTGGTTTTGCGCCAATGCACGCCATATCGTTGGTGCACCCCAAAACTGTCTCTCGCCGTCGTGTGGTACATGTTCGAATCCTCGGCCCTTCTGCTCGCGCTGAGAATGTAAAATTTGCACCGCAGTTCTACTGTGTACTCTACAGTTTACTCCCCCCATGGTAAAACCTACCGAGCTATGCACAACCCTGTCCACTAAGCCAGCAAGAAGGTGGCGTGCGTGGCCATGAGTGCGAGGCTTGGATTTGGCATCTCGGTCTCGGTTGGAACATGAACATATCGTGCCGTCGTTGCAAAAGACATCAGCAGCAGCAGCAGCAGGCGGCAGGCAGCAGCGGTCACAGATTTACCGACTGCTATATACTACGAAGTATATTCTGAAGCATATGAGAGTATACTTCTAGCATGTGAGAGTATACTTCTACTTCTGCATATGCATTATTAATACCACTACTACGAAGTATATACTTAAGCAAGTATTCCCTCAATGGACGGTGGTGTATCGCTCAACCACACGCGCCGCAATATTTATATTCCCCGTTAGTATACCCTTTCAATTTTTGGTCTGACCGACAGCAGTAGATTAGGTAGTTGGCCCAGCTCATGTGTACTGTTCACCATGTGGGAAGGAACTGCTTCCCTTTCCACGGCATCCACGGAGTTAGGCCTCGGCGGCGGCTTTGACGTGCATGGCGTGATTATGACTCTGCTGCTCATGTGTACCATGTTGTACGCAGCTTCGGTCTCCCGCTGCTGGTACTCGACGCCTGTCTCAGGCAGCTCCGCAAAGCCACCCCCCTAACGTCAAAACTTCTTCCGGCGCGGCGTTACCAAGCATAGATGACGGCTTACACAGGAACAGCGCCGTCTCCGTCTCCTTTGTTTTGGGTTCGGCCAGAATTATGCAGGCAACGGCATGCACGACGTATGCATAGATTTGGATGAGGTTCGGGACTTGTCGATCCCAGAGAGAATGGTTGTTGTTTTGTATTTTTTGCAATTTATTATGTACTGGACGTGGTTGAAACCTCGGTGACTTGCAACTTGTTCATGCGATACATAAACATTGTTCTTCCAAGTAAATAATAACCTCGAAGCGGTTGGATAGTCGAGGCCCGTGGATTGAGTTTACCGCTGTCTTACACGACGCGCTTAAGACACACGTTGCGGTATATAGACTTCACCCGCAGAGGCACTGGACGCGACGTTTTCCATTTGGCTCCCCATCCGTAGCATCTCAATTTGCGATACCCTACCTTCGATGTTCCCACCGCGAGCGACAGAAGATCGCAACGAGGGTTAAGACTACCCGTATCGGGGAAAGGCGCGTGGGGATGAAATTGTAAGACAAAATCGAACAGTTTTGCTTCTGTTGTTGACGCTCCCAGCGGGACACCCAACACCGAAAGTGCGCGGACAAGTGCCTTCAAGACTAGGCCCGCTCCATCCGTTTCGCGGACGATTTAGTATGCACGGATGGCTATATATCATTGAATGACAATTATTTGTGCAAAGCCAAGTGAAATGACGTTCTCACGCTCTTTTAGTTTGCTACTCTCTCTTCGCCGCAAGGCATGCCGTCCACAAATCACCCCCCCTTTATTGATCTCCCGTTTAGCCCCGAGGCACGCAGTTACCATCACCCCGATTGGCGCCCCATACCTGGCCGAGCACTGCCTCATGTATTCCCTGCCGGGATGATTTTTCCCACCCACACCCACCCGGCTTTGTTTTTCGTTCTCCTGTAAAGCATGGCCTCCAACGGGAGCGCCACAGCAGCCCCGACAACAGCTGCGAGAGCAGTACCGGTGCCAACAGTAGTACCGGTAGTGACAGCAGCGGCAGTACCGGCAGGAGCACAACCATCTCGAGCACCGCCACCGACAGCAGCAGCGGCAGCGGTAGCGGCCACGACACCCGCGATGGCACCCGCACCGCCACCAGCAGCACCCGGTAGCAGCAGCAGCAGCAGCAGCAGCACTTCGGTGGTCATGGCAACTTCTATCACTACCGCCGCCGCCGCCCCCACCACCTCCTCTACCCCTGCCATCGCGAGAGCAGCAGTAGCAGCGCCGGCAACAAAGGCGGCCCCAACAACGGTAGCAACAGCAGCAGCAACGGCGCGACCAGCGTTAGCCGCTGTTCCTGCCTGCGGTACAATCTCGGGGGTAGCTGATCCCGCAAGGCTGCAACCGGCACCGGCAGCAGCAACAGCGGCGGCAGCGACGGCGGTGGCACCGCGGGTTCCGCCAGAGGCAACTGGCGCGGCCGCTGCCGCGGCGCCAAGCCCTGGAGCGGGGCTAGTGGTTGCGGCAGCAGCAGCGGGGGCGCCGGTGGTGACGGGAGGTGAGTCTTTCCCCTAGCTGGCGCTGGTGTTGTTCGCTCGGCGCTGAAGAGCCTTCATTTGATTTGAAACTGGGCCACCGACCACGACCATGTGTTTATTGCGTCAAAGGTTCGAGGGCGTGAGGAGGGGTCGTGGGCAGATATTCATGGACCATTCTCCGCGAAAATGTTTTTGATCGAAACCAGCGTTTCTCGGGGGCATTTTCACGACATTTACAATCTCGAATGGCAACAGTACCCCGAGCTAGCGACCTCTTCGTTCCCACAGGTGCTCACCTGGCATCAGTCAGGTGGTCAGGCAACGCCGACGAACGGCACTAGCGACGCGCGGTATGACCCACAACACAACATGCAGCCTGACGATATCTACGTCGTGAGGAACGCTTTCCTGACGTGTTCAAGCATATACATCTTGAATAATGAAATTCTACTTGCACACCGACCGTTTCGCGGCAGGGATTTCCCCCAGAGTTACGCCGGGAGTGGCGGTGGCGACGGTGGCGGG